TATGCATAAAATCTTCCTGCTCTCTATCATGCTTTTAACAATGCTGCTGTCTTTAGGGCATATTTTTCTGAAACCGATGCATTCTTTAGTACAAAGTCGGGTACAAAGTATAGAAGCGGGAAAGGAATAGCTATATTGACTGAACCGTCCTTCAACCAGTACTGCACTTCTTTTTTTCATTTTACATGTATACCTACATATCTCTAATACGTTTTAGAAAAACAGGTGTAAACTCAATCATATTTCGCAAGACGTCTTGAAAATAGTCGTGTAAACTCAACATAATCTTTCTAAAACGTTTTCGCTAAGACGTCTTGGAATGCCGCGTGTAGTGTAAATGAGGCTATTGTCATAACTGACTCCACTACATAGGAAAATTCTAAATCTAAGAAATGAACGACGGAGTTTTCAAGATATTGAACTTTGAAAAATTACAAATCCATCATTGTCCTAATTTTTTTAATGATTGGTTATAGTTGTCGGTGAGGTAATGTCTTACCCAAAATTAAACAACTATTCCTTGACTTACAATTGATTTGTTGAGCAAAAAAATGCGGTCCACCGCATGAACGAAGCCTCGGAAAGAATTTCACCACAGTTCAGCGCCAAAATGGAGGAACATCTGATCATGTTCTCCACGTCTGTCCAGGGAATTGACAACCCAAGATATTTTATATGTTTAACACGTCATATAGGTTCAATTAATTTTAGAAATAATTTCTAAACGTTGGTAGTACTTGTTACACATGCGGACATTGAAACTTCGCAACGAAGTACTTTGTGCTCGCAAAAAGCCATCGTTGCGAGGCTTTTATCAAAATCTGTATCTGACTTTACCGTTGTCAGGCTATTTTAGAAATAATTTCTAAACGTTGGTAGTACTTGTTACACATGTTGACATTTAACTGGTGATTCACTCGATTAAGCTGGTTTCGGTAACAAAATGTAGGAACGTCGAAGGTACAATTTTTCTTTTTTCCTTATTTTACGCGTTGTAGGCTGAATTATTACCACGACGTTTTATCACAAACGTATATCAGTATCATATGTTTGAGAAAATGTACATATTTGCGAACAAATAGTTCAGAAGACAACAGAATCGTCGATTTAATTCCTCACTAAAGTTACAGAAACGGTATTTCGAAAAACAGTTAAGATCTGCACTTTAAACCCTACCGTTTCTGTAACTTAAGTGAAGCATTAAATCGACGATTATGTTGTCTTCTGAGCTATTTTTTCGCAAACATGTGCATTTTCTAAAACAGATGATACTGATACACGTTTGTGTTTGCCTACAACGCGTGGAATAAGGAAAAAAGATAAATCGTACCTTCGACGTTCCGACATTTTGTTACCGAAAGGTTCGTTTCGGTAACCAGCGTGATCGAGTGGATCACCAGTGAACGAAGTACTTTATGCTTGCAAATAGCCATCGTTACAAGGCTTTTATCAAAATGTTAAATAACAAGCAATTTTAACCTTTCTGTGTACCCGGGGGTGTGCAACAGGTTCCACTATGAGTTTAAGTAGAAACAATGATTTCAGATATAATATATCTTGGATGAATAAAAAGTATTCAAACTGTGATGTGAACAAATGGGAGGGAATCTTCATATATGATATATCTTCATAATACTTCATATTCTCGTACAGGGTGTCCGTAAAGTCTCTTAACACTTTACAGACTTTGCATTCTTACATATAGATTTCAAAAATGATATCACTTCGATTAAATTTTGAATATTTGATGACGTATATCGAGGTTATATCTATTTCCATCTCGTCTATTGTGAAGAGAATTATGGACACCCTGCAGAAGTATCTAAGCACAAGAGCCATGACCAAAAGTTGTAATAGGACCTAGCAAGAAAAAAAAGCAAACTGAATAGCAGTCATAAGAAAAACAAACTCCGTATATCTTTAACTAAGTAAAACGTATATCGAGTTCGCTTTTCAGGAGGAGGACTTGGAGGGATACAGCGTGTATCCATCCCGGCCTCAGGCGATAGCTCCATAGATAAACTAGGCTATTTTATATCCCTGCTCGTTATGTAGCTAGTACGACAGTAGGTATGGTATACAACCTTAATTGCAACATCTGGCCTCAGGTTAATTGCAGATAAAATGGTCATTTTCTATCCGTTGCTAGGCAAAAATATGGGATCAAATTATGAAACAATTTTAGTTTAGTTTAGACCCACCCTCCCACTATTCTAAGAGGGGGGAGTGGACAACATACAGACACAGTACCAAATGTACATAATAAATTATAAATAGCAACTAGACTTTATTATATACAGTTACAGGTAATTTAATGTAACAGTTTCACAAAAGCTGTACAATTTCAAGCTAAATATTTTGCCTAAAATAATCAACAACAAGGGACCCTGAGTGTTTTATGGCAGGACTATGAATCAATGACCAGTTATAATTGCAATAGAGATTGTTAACTTTTACCCATCTGAATTAGTTTCCATAGCAACCAGTAACACTTGCTATTCAAATAAAATAAAACAATATATATATTTTAATTATCATTTATTTTAATCATACAACCCATTATCCACTATATTCACTGTTATAATCAGCTACTTAAGGAATCAAAAATTCATTGTGTCGTGAAGTAATGCAGTAAAACCTGTTAAGTGGAAAATCTCTGTCAGTGGAACATCTCCATAAGTGGATTACTTTTCAAAGTCCCCGAACGTATTGACTTATTGTAAATTAGCCCCTCTGTAAGTGGAACAGCTCTCAATTGGAACACTTTTTAGAGGTACCACAGGTGTTCTACTTACACAGGTTTTACTGTATTTGATTCATAATTTGGTCAAGTTAATGTCCACAGAAGTGAATGTGTTCCTCTTCTATTTGGTCCTAAATGAGTATAACAAGCAAGGAAATCTGTTCTTAATGTGTAATGGAACATTATGAGTATACAATAGGGAGGTTAAGCTTAAACTTTTCAAGGGAACTTTTATATGAATGTGTAATATTATGACCCCAAGAAATTACTGTCCTTCTATCAATTTCTTTCCAAGAGACCTAATAATTACAACAATTTTCCGTATATCGTTATACTTAATTGGCAGGCCGATTCAGACTATGGAGGGGAGAACTTATCCCTAAAGAATCAGTTTTATATGTTGGAGTACAGGTTCCATTTAAAACATGTCGATTGACCTCTCTAATAATGTATCTCTTTTACAACATGTCCTCAAACAGAATGACTCAAGATTTTGACCCCTATTTTATCTGCCTTTTTAATTCCAAAATAGCCTATACAAGAAAATATACAATAAAGTACTATGAATCAAAATATACAATATATGAGCTATTGCAATATCCCTAAGTCTTGAATACATTTGATTCATACATGTACATAAATAAGCCTCTAAAAGATATGTACAATGAATATCGCACATAATTGTAAAAACCCTTTTGATTTCTACATAAAATAGGCTATTTATGAATCAAAATAGGCTATTTCTGAATCAAAATAGGCTATTCATGAATTAAAATAGGCTATTTATAAATCTTCATTACATGTGATTAATTCATGTACATACAGTAGCCTCTAAAAAATGCATATATTGTACATATATCATAATAGTAACCCAATTTTATAATTATTTTTTATATAAAACACACTAGATTAAACACTATAAGTTATTAAGTGATTTGAAATGCAATACAGGATATATTCTGCTCGAGAAAATCGAAACAAATCATTCAATAACGTTTTTATTGTTTGATCCTCTGTATTGCTACTGTGATTGTCCCTTCTGTACCAATATTTTCTGTATTGCGACGTAAATGATCAGCGGGGACAATCTCAGTAGCAATACAGATAGGTACAGCACAAGAACTGACCAATCAGAGGGCTTCATTTTACAGATCATTAGATAAAATAGATTATTGCAATATCCCCAATCTTGTTTACATCTAATAACAAGGCATTAACAAAACAAAAAAATATAATATTGATACAAATGGTCTCATTTACTTATTTGTAAAGGAATCAAATGAAATTTTCAGAGATTAAAGGAAATATAGTAACTTTTTATACTTCCCAAATATTATGAATTTAAAGAATGTAAAGAACAATAACACTTATTAAATCTGATATCTTACAAAATGTACTACCTTGTTTCTACCTTGTACTACCTTGTTTCGATTAATAAAAAGTGAAACTACTTGTTACAGATATGGATGCTAAATACATGTCACAGACAATAGTGACTATCAAAAACCCTTCTACCACTTAAGAGTATAGACTAATCAAAATTTTAGCAACTCTAAAACACACTTAATTTGGCAAAAAAATCAATATTCAAACTTTGACAAAAATACTGTCTTCATCATATATAGAGTGTTGTAACATGTATAATGTAAAGAATTCCATATTGTGTAATATCAAACAGTAAAATAGTAAACTGTACATACATTTAAAAATACTTGTGCAAAAAGATTCAACAGAAAAGAGTTACTCTATTGCCCTAAAGTAAAAAAAAAAAATTATAATGTAAACATAAACAGTGCATTCGTTCATCCCACTGATACAAACATTGTATAAATGTCATATCATTTGGACATAAAGTAAATTCAAAGCAATAAAACGTGCTGTGTAACCTTAATAGAGTTAATTATAACAATTTGTGAACTGTGTGTGCTTTCCTTGAATCATTTTGTCTTGTATGTGTTATACATACATACATAACTAAAGCTTTTCAGCAGATGGATAATAAATACACGATTTTCTATTTTCATGAACAAAGAATATTAAGAATTATGACAAAGAATATTAAGAATTATGACAAAGAAGACACATGGGTTATATCATGTTCATGTTTTTTTCTGGTTTCTATGGTGATTTCTCACACTTTCCACACCACATGTAATGACATATCCATATGTGAGTAGAGCTATAGATGACATATCCATATGTGAGTTGAGCTGTAGATGACATATCCATATGTGAGTTGAGCTGTAGATGACATATCCATATGTGAGTTGAGCTATAGATGACATATCCATATGTGAGTTGAGCTATAGATGACATATATGTCATATGATAGAATTAGGACTGCTCCTGGGCTAGTTTGAAGGCATGGACACTCCCTCTCTCTTGGTACATATGGGTGGCATGTGGGTCAGTTCTTCGACGCTTTTCTGGTGGAGAAGCTCCCTCATTCCCCGGAGGTCCATATCCCCCTCCCCCTGGGGTCAATAGCCGGAAACAATCCTGGAAAATATAGTATTGATCTGAGATGATGATGTGGCATATGAGCTCTCTACAAGACTCATACATGAATCAGTTAAGCTCAAGTACTAAGAGCTATTCAAGTCGTAATATCTGGAATTAGCATCCTAAAAAAGCCCTACAAATTTTGAATTCATAATGATTTGGAACCTAAAAAATGATATACAGTAAAACCTGCGAACAGGGAATGCTCTTGGGACTGGAGGAAAGTTTCCTTGTTCAAAGGTTTTCCCTATAGAGAGGGGCTGCACTTTCAGCAAACTCAAACTTGCCGAATAAGCATATTTGTAAATATATGGGCATTGATTGATTGTACCAATGCCGACTCCATACTTGGTTGCTAGACCTTGCTGTAACATCTTGCAAGATGTATGAAGGTCTCCCATCTCCCTCCATTGGCTGAGGGAAAGGAGCATTCTCTCTTTGTTGATTTTAGCTACTGATGCTGGTGTCTGATGATGTCTAGTTGATGTAATTATTGAAATGATGTGTACAGATATGTTGCTAAGAACTGATTTCAAGTTTCATCAACCCCATTTTATATCATTGATAATCTAGAAGTTTGGATCAGTAAAAGATTTGGCTCAACATGACACATGTACTTATCTAGGTGTAATCTTCAGAAAACAATTGTGTAGATTATCACAACTGATTTGATGTAATTAATATATGTTTGTTGAACGGAAAAATTAGTGTCATGATAATAAGTAACAGATTTGTATTAGTTTTAAAATATATCAGGGTAATTAACAGTGGGTGGGATGCTACATCTTGTAAACAATTGGCTTATCTTAATCTCTATCATATTAATCCAAGCTTTATAGAATCAGATATTGGCTTAAGACTTTCACACCTCTGAAAAATAATGGAATATACAGTGTCACCAATATTCCATATTCCCTGTTCACAGGTGAATTTTCATAATTTGCCCCAAAATAGTGTTCCTTGTTCCCTGTTCAAAGGTTTTCCCTACAGAGAGGGTCCATTAACATGTAAGTCAATGGAAAAATATTTGGTTCTTTTGAAAAGCATTCCTTGTTCATAGGTTTTCCCTACAGAGAGGTATTCCATCGGACAGGTTTTACTGTACTTGGACATAAACACTGCTAAAGCTCGAAGAACAAGATACTTATGGAGGAAGTTTTTAAAGAACTTTTAACACAATATCCTTTTGAAGCTCATTCAGTTGAGCACCTGCATTAAAAACACATTTCAAAACAAAATTTTAAATGAAAACTACAGAAGACCTCCATTAACATTTGCCCACTTTGTTGGTTTATCTATGAAGTAGTTTTTAACAACTATTCTCAATGGTAATCCCTGAGCCTTGAAGAGCCAGGTGATGGCTTGGGGAGTCCGAGCAAGCAGTTTTTGACAACTTTGTGCACTTTTCATGAGATTCTGAGCCAAAATTTTTAAACTTAAACCTTCCCCCTTATGGGGCTGAAACTATACACTGCACCAACAGAAAGCCTCCATTCTTACCCCAGCTGTGACATCAACGGATGTCTTTGCACCTAGACTAACTATTCTCCCATCTGCATACAACATCAGGTTTTGCCCATTCTTTCCTGGTTTCCCACCTGGAAAACATACACAAAATGGGTGAATACATACACAAAATGGGTGAATACATACACAAAATGGGTGAATACATACACAAAATGGGTGAAAACATACACAAAATGGGTAATAACATCTATATACCAAGAAACATCTATATACTAAGAAACATCCATAAAATTGTCAAGCCAAATGAGGAGACAAAAAATGAGACATGCCTGGAAGGTACGCTAATGTCAAAATTGTAGCTTTTAAGGTAAAATAAAAAAAAACAAAAAACTATAGAACCCTATCGAGCAAGACACAGAAATATTTGAGCTCTTAATGACTTTTACCATAAAATAAGTTAAAAATTTAATTTTTTACATCCGAGAAGGTAAACATACCATTCATCCCCTAATTTTTTACATTCAAGAAGATAAACATACCATTCATCCCATGATTTTTTACATTCAAGAAGGTAAACAACCATTCATCCCATAATTGTTTACATTCAAGAAGGTAAACATACCATTCATCCCATGATTTTTTACATTCAAGAGGGTAAACATACCATTCATCCCATGATTTTTTACATTCAAGAGGGTAAACATACCATTCATCCCATGATTTTTTACATTCAAGAGGGTAAACATACCATTCATCCCATATTTTTTTACATTCAAGAGGGTAAACATACCATTCATCCCATAATCTTTTACATTCAAGAAGGCAAACATACCATTCATTCCATAATTTTTTACATTCAAGAAGGTAAACATACCATTCATCCCATAATTTTTTACATTCAAGAAGGTAAACATACCATTCATCCCATAATTTTTTACATTCAAGAAGGTAAACATACCATTCATTCCATAATTTTTTACATTCAAGAAGGTTAACATACCATTCATCCCATATTTTTTTACATTCAAGAAGGTAAACATACCATTCATCCCATAATTTTTTACATTCAAGAAGGTAAACATACCATTCATCCCACAATTGTTTACATTCAAGAAGATAAACATACCATTCATCCCATGATTTTTTACATTCAAGAAGGTAAACAACCATTCATCCCATAATTGTTTACATTCAAGAAGGTAAACATACCATTCATCCCATATTTTTTTACATTCAAGAGGGTAAACATACCATTCATCCCATGATTTTTTACATTCAAGAGGGTAAACATACCATTCATCCCATGATTTTTTACATTCAAGAGGGTAAACATACCATTCATCCCATATTTTTTTACATTCAAGAGGGTAAACATACCATTCATCCCATAATCTTTTACATTCAAGAAGGTAAACATACCATTCATTCCATAATTTTTTACATTCAAGAAGGTAAACATACCATTCATCCCATAATTTTTTACATTCAAGAAGGTAAACATACCATTCATCCCATAATTTTTTACATTCAAGAAGGTAAACATACCATTCATTCCATAATTTTTTACATTCAAGAAGGTAAACATACCATTCATCCCATATTTTTTTACATTCAAGAAGGTAAACATACCATTCATCCCATGATTTTTTACATTCAAGAGGGTAAACATACCATTCATCCCATGATTTTTTACATTCAAGAGGGTAAACATACCATTCATCCCATGATTTTTTACATTCAAGAGGGTAAACATACCATTCATCCCATATATTTTTACATTCAAGAGGGTAAACATACCATTCATCCCATAATCTTTTACATTCAAGAAGGTAAACATACCATTCATTCCATAATTTTTTACATTCAAGAAGGTAAACATACCATTCATCCCATAATTTTTTACATTCAAGAAGGTAAACATACCATTCATCCCATAATTTTTTACATTCAAGAAGGTAAACATACCATTCATTCCATAATTTTTTACATTCAAGAAGGTAAACATACCATTCATCCCATATTTTTTTACATTCAAGAAGGTACGTAAACATACCATTCATCCCATGATTTTTTACATTCAAGAAGGTAAACATACCATTCAACCCATGATTTTTTACATTCAAGAAGGTAAACATACCATTCACCCCATAATTTTTACATTCAAGAAGGTAAACATACCATTCATCCCACAATTTTTTACATTCAAGAAGGTAAACATACCATTCATCCCATAATTTTCACATTCAAGAAGGTAAACCATTCATCCCACAATTTTTTACATTCAAGAAGGTAAACATACCATTCATCCCATAATTTTTTACATTCAAGAAGGTACGTAAACATACCATTCATCCCACAATTGTTTACATTCAAGAAGATAAACATACCATTCATCCCATGATTTTTTACATTCAAGAAGGTAAACAACCATTCATCCCATAATTGTTTACATTCAAGAAGAATTCATTCATCCCATGATTTTTTACATTCAAGAAGGTAAACATACCATTCATCCCATGATTTTTTACATTCAAGAAGGTAAACATACCATTCACCCCATAATTTTTACATTCAAGAAGGTAAACATACCATTCATCCCATATTTTTTTACATTCAAGAAGGTAAACATACCATTCATCCCAAAAGGTTTTCACATTCAAGAAGGTAAACCATTCATCCCACAATTTTTTACATTCAAGAAGGTAAACATACCATTCATCCCATAATTTTTCACATTCAAGAAGGTAAACCATTCATCCCACAATTTTTTACATTCAAGAAGGTAAACATACCATTCATCCCATAATTTTTTACATTCAAGAAAGTAAACATACCATTCATCCCATAATCTTTTACATTCAAGAAGGTAAACATACCATTCATCCCATAATCTTTTACATTCAAGAAGGTAAACATACCATTCATCCCATAATTTTTCACATTCAAGAAGGTAAACCATTCATCCCACAATTTTTTACATTCAAGAAGGTAAACATACCATTCATCCCATAATTTTTCACATTCAAGAAGGTAAACATACCATTCATCCCATATGGTGCGAAGACTCTCCTCTCAGTTAAGATGGAGAGAGTGAGCTGTTTGCGGAAGAGTAATTCTCTAATGACTCCATCTCCCCCTCTGTACGTCCCCTCTCCCCCAGTGCCTGGCTGTAGGCTGAATCTCTGCACAATCACAGGGTACCTGAAAGGTCATTTCAAAGTTTTCTACCAAATCATTCATGTATTTTTACATTTTACAGTAAAATCTGTTTCAGTGGAACACTTTTGCTATTTTCAACAGTGTTTCACCTTGGAGATGTATCACATGACTGAATTGATAATGCAACTATCAAAAGTATTCACTTTTTGTTGTGTTCCAATTTACGGGTTTTACTGTTAGATATGGGAGAGTTTAGCTACTATATACAATCGAAAAGGCGATCTACAGAGTGTCAAATAAATATGTTCTCCTCCCCTTCGCTTTAACATTCACATGATATAGCGTAACTTTTTTGTCTGTGTAATATCTAAATTGCTCTTTACCACATTAAAACTAGGCTCCATGGAGTTACTCCATAAGAAGTTTCAGATGACGAGTTCAACAAGATGCACTTTTATGCACACAAGTTCATACTTTAAAATTAAGGGGGAGAACATATTTATTTGACACCCTGTATACATATAAATCGCGCATATACAAATACATGTAGCTTCCTCATTTAAATAGCCGTTTGGCCTTCAGGGTTTGTGTTTGGGAGATTGCAGACATACTTTTGAATTATCATCTAATACTAGTGACACAAAAACTGAGTTAAATAATGTGTCACCACATCATTTAATTAAGATGGTGCCTTATTACCTTACAATATTCAGTTACCTTCTTTCAACAATCTCTGGGTCTGTGATTCTCGTGTTCGTCATATGTGTGTGGACACCACTTCTTCCATCCCAGGTTGGTCCCTGTTACAACAAAATGAAAGCATTAATCTTATGAGCCCAGGGGCTATCAATAGATGGTGTAAACAAAATGGATAAATTTATTATCAATCATAACTTTGAATTTCAAAGCAATCTTGAATCTTAGATCCTAATAATGAAAATACAAATCAATAAAAGTTTTACATGCGATATATGAGGTGAGTTTGTCTCTCCAAAAGCATTGTTCTAGTAACAGGAAGAATGTATGTGATCACATGGTACAAGAGTCAAGGAGCACAGTAATCAAAGTAGAATGTGCTGCATGAACATGACAAGACAAACTGATGTGTGTTAAATCAATATCTAAAAGCACACATATATTGATGACACTATAACATGAAATATGCCTGTCGATGAGTTCTTCCAATATTGGCTGACCTTTGGGAGGCTCTAGATTTGGGCAAGAACGAAGGCATATTACACGTCATAGTGACATAACTGATGTTTTACACACCTTTATTCCCATGGCTACTTTGAAGAATCAATGGTGTCATATTTCTTTTCATGTCATAGTGACATAACCTCTAAATATAGCCCGCTAACTTTCCCATTGACTTCCATACAAATGCTTCACTAGGTATGTAATACATGTAGTTATACTTACTGCCCCAGCTCCCCCGGCAACTGTCTCATAGTAACCTACATCCTGGTCTCCAAATGTTATATTGTTCATACAGCCCTGAAAGTAGAAACTTTCATTTTAATATCCCAAGAAGGTTTTAACTGATTAATATACATTATTGGCATTTCTAAATTTATCATATGCTTCATAATATAATGTAATATTACTCAATTCTATACATATATTTCAATTCATTTATTAAAAAAATCTTTAATATTGACACAAAGTGTGTCCAGAAGTTTGACATGGCCGCATCTAAGATAAAAAATAAACTTTTTGAAACATTTTAAATAAGTTATAAATTGATTAAACTATTCTGCAAGGCAGAGGTAAGGTGATCTTTTTGACAAAATGTGCCCTTATCTTTATGAACATCATGGTAAAGTGAAGTTACAGAACTTCATATGCCACTTTGATGTGTAACAATGATAGCCTAGTCAATAACCCAGATGCGAGTAGAAATAATCTTGATTTACGTCATTAAAAATTCAAAATTCAGTCAAAGTGATGTCATATTTGAAATCTGCATGTAAAAGTACATCTATAAATATGGTTTCGAAAATTGTTTATCAACTTTGAAAATTTAATTTTTTTTGAAAATGTGACTTCTTGTTCGGGTTGATTCCCCATAGACCCCATGATACAAAATCACAAAAAGTGAAATATCTTTTCTTGTATTGGATAAATAACATTTTCTTTTACTGGATATATTTCAGTTTGCATAACTATTAGATACATAAGGGTTATATGAAAATTGAATCATTAAAACAGATGTGATTTAAGTTTAAGGGAACTTTCTCCTATACCCGCCATGCTATCTGACCCGAACGAGCCACCTGGTAGTGAATCTGGTAACTACCTACTCGCATCTGCGTTATTTGGTCAGAGAACATTCTGACAATACAAAAAATAGTTGGCAAAAGAAGAAATCTGCTATAAATTAAACGAAGATGAATCTAGATTCCGATTTTAGAAGATGAGTCTGTCAACACTGGATCCTTCGTCGACAACATAGGACAAATTGATGTGACAAGGAAAAGTATCCATGTGTTTATGTCCCTAGACAAAGTGACCGTAGGAACATCCGAAAGGAAAATGATTTTCAGCTGGAAAGAACAGGCCGTTAAACTCATAGACGGAGGAGTGACCATCAAAGGAAGCAACTCTTAAAAAAGCATTTTAAAAGAGAGACCATAACAATGCTTGGTGGTGACATAAAAACTTAATATTCCAAGTATTTCAGTTTTAATACTTTAAACAATGGTATACAAAATCTTTGCCACATATATTTTATCACCGAAGATTTGTTACCAGGACAGAAAACAACTTATTTGTGCTGTTCCAACTGACAAAGGTTTGGAGCGGAAAATAAACAGAGAATGCAAAATTGCAGGGGGAGTAGTTATCCGGACAGATTACAAAACATTTAATGCTGTTCCAACTGACAAAGGTTTGGAGCAGAAAGTGAACAGAGAATGCAAAATTGCAGGGGGAGCAGTTGGGTTTACCTGGAGGAAGGGTGCATTGGATAGATGATGAGTAACTCATCAAATCACCAATGACCATGCAGAGGTGGTGAACAATCTCAGTACGCCCAATGCAACTCAAAAAACCACATAAATGCTAACCAAAGCTGGGTGAAAAGGGTGAAGAGAATGTACAAACGATATCAAGAAGTCAGTAGTAGAGGTCACTTGAAAGAACTTGCAGCAAAAGAACAAATACAAGAAGAAGAGAATGTACAGCATAAAAAAAGTGTGAGAAGGAAGCAAACATACTGTTTAAATGATGGGACATGTCATGTTATGGAAGGACTGAAAACAAATATAAGTATCCTCTAACACATACAGGACACAGATGTATGGTGAAAGATACAACAGAACAATTATATAACCAAAAAAAACTTGCAACAAAAGAACAAATACAAGAGAATGTACAGCATAAAAAGAGTGGGAGAAACAGATAAAGTGTTTAAATGGTGGGACATGTCACGTTATACATGGAAAATCAATTTTACCAACAAAGGGGAATATACAAGAAAGATATCTATGTTTTTTCATACCTTAAAAGTAAAAATTATTAGATTAAATCAAATGCAAAACTAAGACTTCTCAGAGTCAGAGATTCCCTTATAGTAAAAAGAGAATGGTATATAAAAATTGCCAATGGCCTACTCAGTAATTTACTGCATTGTGTTAAGATCATCCAGTTATTCCTTAATAAAAAAGGTGAAATTAGGTGCTGACCACGTAGGTAACAGTTTTAAAACTAGACTACAAGTGATTAACACAGCATCATTCAATAAAAGTGGTTAAGTGGTTCAACAAAGGGAGCAAGTAGTAGGAGAAAATGCTGGTCAATAACAAATGAGGCAGACAGGATATGGGCAGTGTGAATACACTACAAACAGATGAGGCCTGTGTGTCTGAACAGACAATAAAGAACTAAGGTTGGCACAAGGAGACCCTATAGAATCAACTCAGCTAGAAGAGAATATGATGAAAGAACCATCGGAATATAAATAGCCATAGTGTGTTAATTGGTTTGTTATTTGGAGAAATAAAGATATTTTAAGACTCCTAACAATGTAGTTGAACCTGAAGGTGAGTATAAGTACTGTTACAAAAATGAATTTTTGTCTGTGGTCTAGCCTCCTTACCTGAATCAGTATTATTATTAATTAGGGTCAGTTGTATATTCTTACTGAAACTCTAGATTCGTTATCTGTAATTTATGCGGCCATTAACCTTTCATTCACCAGAATCTTGCTGACATTCTAGATCAGTTATCATTAATTTATGCGGCCATTAAACTTTCATTTAACCTCTCAGAAGGTATAGATTGAGTTCCTCTCATTCAACATGCACTTTTGGTGCTTCGACTGTCAACAAAATCACTCTTATCATAGGAGGGAAATTTCAATTTCAACATGTAAGTAACATGAATTAGCTTAGCATGTCAATTTGACATTTTGTCAATTTGGCATTTCAGGAGGGAAATTTCAATATGTAAGGAACATGATTCAGCTTAGCATGTCAATTTGGCATTTCAGGAGGGAAATTTCAATATGTAAGGAACATGATTTAGCTTAGCATGTCAATTTGACATTTAGTCAATTTGACATTTTGTCAATATGGCATTTCAGGAGGGAAATTTCAATATGTAAGGAACATGATTGAGCTTAGCATGTCAATTTGACATTTTGTCAATTTGGCATTTCAGGAGGGAAATTTCAATATGTAAGGAACATGATTTAGCGTTAGCATGTCAATTTGACATTTGGTCAATTTGGCATTTTGGGGCCAAATTAAAATTGCCCCGTTTTCAATTTTGATCTTTATTGACAATTAACATGACAATATTGGCACCCAGTGTCAATTTTTATTTTCACACATTGTCGCTCTGTTTGACATATTGTCAATTTTTATTTTTACATACTGGCGCAATGTTTGACATTTTGTCAACATTAGGTCTAACATTGTCAATTGTAAATTATCAATATTGACGTATTGTCAACTTTTATTTTTACATATTGGCGCAATGTTTGACATATTGTCAACTTTAGGACAAACATTATCAGTTGTAAATTATCAATATTGTCATATTGTCAACTTTTATTTTGACATATTGGCGCAATGTTTGACATATTGTCAACTTTAGGTCTAGCATTGTCAGTTGTAAATTATCAATATTGTCATATTGTCAACTTTAATGACAATCATTTACAATTATTGATTTCCAAAATTGGCACTCAGCACCAACTTTCACTTTTCATTATTGGTGGTCTATTTGAACAGTTGCTAGCATTTACGACGATTACTGTCAATTATCAATATTGGCATTCAGTGCCAACTTTTATTGACAATTATTGATGACTTTTGTCAATTTCTTCATATCAATATTGATACGTTGGGCAAATGACAATTTCCAATATCGGGATTCTAGAGACAATCCCAACTTTCAAATATCGGCGCTTATTTTTGCCAAATTGTCATTACTATGAACATTTATGGTTTCATTTCATTCTCGAGATTGGCATTACACTACCAAGGCAACTTTCACTTTATTTTGTCTGATTATGAGGAATTCCAAAGTGATATTTTGCATATTGACAATTAAGTGTTAATATCTAGTTTGCAATTGTCAAATTGCATATTAATATTAATATTGGCTTTAATTGTCAATTCTATTTGACGTTCTAATTTCTATGACAATTATTGTTGATGGTTATTCACAAGTGGGGCGTTATCCAACCTTCTTCAAGTCCCTGGGCAAGTCCGATAGTTGTGGTCCAGAAGAAAGATCAGAATGTGTTGCGATATGAGACGACTCAATGAAGTAACTGTTAAAGACGCATTACCTATACCACGAATTGATGACACTCTTGATGCCCTGGGGTCTGCCAGTTGGTTTTGCACTCTTGATGCCCTGGGGTCTGCCAGTTGGTTTTGCACTCTGGACTTGATTAGTGGATATTGGCAGGTCAAATTAGACGATGATGCAAAAACAGGACTTTACGAATTCAATGTTATGCCATTCGGGTTATGTAACGCCCCTTCTACTTTCGAGAGATTGATGGAGAGAATCTTTTCGGGAATGCAATGGGACTCAATGATGGTGTATCTCGACGATATTATAGTGTTCGCCCCAACATTTGAGGGAATGGTGTCGCGGTTGAGCGATGTCCTTGATGTTTTACGACAAGCAAACCTCAAGCTTAAACCGCAGAAATGCAAATTGTTCAAGATGGAAGTGGAGTACTTGGGACATGTGGTCAGCAAGGACGGCATAAAAACGGATCCAAAGAAAATCGAAGCTGGTCATATTACCGTAGTTTCTGCAAGATGTTTCTTCAAAGATGTTGAAGGACAGATAGCCAGATGGCTTCAAGTACTTCATATATTTCAATTTATTTATTTAAAAAAATCTTTAATATTGACACAAAGTGTGTCCAGAAGTTTGACATGGCCACATCTAAGATAAAAACATTAACTTTTTGAAACATTTTAAGTAAGCTATAAATTAATTAAACTATTCTGCAAGGCAGAGGCAAGATA